ATGTCATCTTGAAATATTAACAGTATCACTTAATCTATTTAATAATCAATCTTCATGTACAACAGATTTCAATAATTGCAATCACAGTTGCAACCAACGTTAATAATAATAACCTTTCCGTACCAATGAAAATAAATATTATCTACGTAATTCTGCATATGCAACCAACAGTCAAATTATATAAATGCTAAAATACAGTTCTGCAGACCGCAAATTGCGCAGTATGGAACAGTATGGAAGCATAATATAAGATTTAAAGATTCTCTATCTCAGCGCCGCGCCGTCGGCGGTAGATGGACGAACCTCAGCTTGTTAGAACGCTACGCTATTGTTGCGTGACCACGCGACATAGGTTAATGATTTTCGATGGCGCTACCGTATTATAACCTTAGACAAATGGCGATAATAGCGAAATTTGAATATAAAACGTAACATTTATGGTCATAGTTATATATTTTGTAGCTTATGTATATTTTCACCCAGGCGCAATAGCTTAGAATAGCTAGAGATATAACGAGAGAGCTTTTCCAATTTCATATAGAGAGTCGAAGCTCTGAGCCCTTCAGGATAGTAAGTCATAAGTGAGTTCGAGTGCCCGTGGAGGATTTGTGCGAGAACAAATTAAACGTGAATATAACTTGAGAAAATAAAAAACGCTTTATTGTCTGAGCTCTAAAATGTGTTTTCTATGATCTCTGAATAAAGTCTGCCGTTTTTCGCGGAGCCTTGAATTCTCCTCCTTGAATCTTCCTTTCTCGTCCTTTTTTCTCGGCAAATATGAAACTTGGAGTATACTTTGATACATACTACTATTTGAATCAGTAGAAATTTTTCAGTAGAAGATTTTTCTATAATTATAAAATGTATATAATATGTAGCATTATTTAAATTTATAATTGTATACGTTTCTTTATTACAACTTCTAAATTTATAACATTTATTGTCCTTTGCAATTATTTATGGAATGATGTTCACATTTTCATTAATTAATCGATACGTATAAAATATAAGCATAAATTAGGATTAGAGTCCATTTTCGTTGACTGATCAGTTCAGACGTGCGAACGTCCAAAGAACAGTTATTTATGCTCTGTAACCAGGCCTGGGTGAACCAGGCCTCGTAAGCCAAATGTGGCTCTTTAGATATTCTTCTCAGACTAACGCGATGCAAGAAACGATGTTGTACTCTATGCAGGATTCCCCGTGTTATGTTTAGCATTGTGCATGGAGTAGTAATAGTGGTGTTTGACGCGCTTAGGCCTGTTAGGTACCAACCAAAGGCATTCACGAAAAATCAAGAATCACTATGAAAATCACCATGATTAGAACGAACGTTATCGAATCACTCAACATTCTCTCGAATTCATTTGAATGAATCACTCGAATCGTTCAAAAGTAGCAGTTCTTGAAATCACTGGTCCTTATGGTCCGTGGGAAAACCGCCAGTATTTCGCTTTTAATATTTTCTGGTTACTTTTGGACATTGTACATACGACGATCTTGGTGTTGGTAATACTAACTTAATTGATACAACGGAGACAGGAAATACCCGATTTCGACATAAAGATTACCGACGACAGATATCGCGCTAGAAGGTGATTGTTGCAGAACGGCAAGATTATAAATACATGTCATTAGCACGCGCTGCGTCATTTAAATATAAGATTCCGACGTTCCCAAAGTGCAAAAACACGATACTGTGACAAGAGGACGATTACGGCTGTACAACTTCGACTTTTTTGTAAGTTGCCAAAACTATTACATTACGAATTACGAGTATGGGCGAGGGATTGACGACTCCAAACATATGTTTAATTTATGATTTGTTGTTTTATTATGTAAGGTAACCACATTTGAAAAATACAGTAAACAAAGAAAACGATGTCGGGGAAAGAAGTATTTGAGATGCTGAAAAAGAATTTGAGTATTAAAAGTTGCATAGAGACGAACAATAATTTGCTTTATATACGTAGTATCCAATATTTTAGAACGTTTTTACCTATGTATATGACTGTTTTAACGAGTGTTAATACCGATTTCATAAAATTTTTCATTTTATTGGTCAAAATTTTTCTCCATGATAATGTATTGCTTCACCATTCTTATTGTTATCTTCTGCCTTTGTTTTAGTGAATTAATTTCTCTACATTATTCACCAAGGACGATTGACGATATGTCCAATTTAAAGTTTATATTTATGTCGTAGCATTTGAGGTTCAAACAATTTCGTTTTTTTTAAATTAATTCGTTACTATTGCTTCTGGCCAAATACTTTTTGCCAGGGATACCGAGATGTATAAAACGCATTTTCTAAATTTTGGTATATGCATGGATAAGGAAGTTGAAAAACGAGGGATTTTTATTTTCTTGTCGTTACAAGTAATAGCAAAATTAGAAAGAGAGTATTTTAATAACTACCTAGTTCACAACTAACTTCATTCCGAATCTTTTTTTTTTTATAATGGGCAACGTTAAGTAATATTGAACACTTAACCTATATTTTCAACTCAAAATTGTTAAGATTGGTTATGATTTTTACAATTAAATATTCTATCGAACATGCACGACTTCAAAGAATATTTACGACGTATTATGCTTTTTTATTATAAAAAAAGGAAAAACGCGACCCAAACGTGTAAAAAACTGTGTGACTTGTACGAGTCGGATTAGGTTAAAGAACGTGTATGCTATAAATGGTTGATCAACTGAGGAATTTAATTGAGTGTAACCCGCTTTGCCAACGCGGGATATTCCCCAGATTCTAAAAATATCGAAGTCAAGTTTAGTGAATCACTTTTATGAACTTGATTTCATCAGCTCGCTTGACGTTTGGGTTTCACACTCGTTGATTGAAGCGAATCGGCGTAACCCGCATTTCAAGCTATGATATGCTTACTATCCTTGTGAAGAAAGGGAGCCGTTTCTCAAGCGAATGATTATGGGAGGTAAAACGTGAATCGTCTACGATAACACTAAACGTAAATAATCGTAGAAGACCTGCAACCAAAAAAAGTTATGCTATCAATTTAATAAGATTACAAAGGTGTAGAGTTTTATGAATTGCTTCCAAGCAATAGAATTGTTAATTCAGAAGTGTACTGCGAGCAGTTGGACAAACTATAAAGATTCATCGAGGAAAAGTGTTCAGAACTGCTGAATCGTAAAGGAATCGTCTTTTACCATGACAACGCTAGATACCACGCTTCACTTAGGACATGGCACCATACACCATATTCTCTAGATGTCGTCCCAACAAATTTTCATTTATTTCGTTCTTTATAAAATTTGCTAAATGGGAAGAAATTCGTTTCTAAAGAGGCTGTTAAAGAGCACCTGGAGCGACTTATGAATTATATAATTGAATAATTATATAATACTTATATAATTGAATAAGTATATAATAATTATATAATTGAACAAAGATATTTCTTTGTATACAAAATATCTCTCCCTATTTATATGCGTCAAAACCTGCACGAACCTATTGGCCAACCGAATAGAAGTAGTCATGAGTAGACAGTCAAACAACATACAGTGGGTGTAGAAAGTATTCGTACGTCTTTTAAAACGAAGTAACCTTTTTATAATTGGGCCAATCAGTCTAATTTTTGGGGGGTATGTTAAAGGGATTAATTAACTAAACAATGGTAAAAAAATTATTTTAAAAAATTGCAGTTTGTTGACATGATAAAAGGATTAATTTCTCAACTATTTTATCTAAGCCTATAACGGAAATTGAAAAAATACATTTTGTAGATTTCAGTAATTTATATGCATGCTGAAAATTTCATCCAAATTGGTTGATCTTGAGCTATAAGCAATTAAAGATCGTGAAAATCGCAATTTTTCACCATTTTCAGCATGCATATAATTTACCGAGATTTACAAAATATATTTTTTAAATTTTCCTTATAGACTCAGATAAAAAAGTTGGAGAAACATAAAATTTTTTAATCCTTTTATCATGTCAACAATTTACAATTTTTGAAAATAATTTTTGTAACCATTCGGTTCTGGATTGGAGGTCGCCGCCAATTTCGGCGCGACTTTGCAATCGAGGTGATGTTCGGTCGACGACGTTGCGATTGGGAGGGACAGGGCCTGCCATCTCTGGGTGAACACATTGCACAATTATGCTAATCTCTTTGTTTCACACAGGAGACCGTTTTTGAGTGATGTGCTCACGTGACGAGAGGCATGTATCCTTCTCGCATCTGGTTGCCATTGTAACGATCGAACTCACTTCCTTTCGTATCTGTTATAAGGTTATAATATAATTATTATTAAAATCGCGACGGCGAATTTCATTATCTTTGTACCATTATTATTCATTATTTGTTTTTCTCACTTGTTAAGTTTGCTGATTTTTATTGCATTGTTAAATTACATTTTGTTACATCCAAATTCTTTACATCCGCGTCCTGCCGTCTCAAACACATTGTCTAGTAAACTAATTCCTCTAACATCTCAAAAAAAATTTAGACTGCTTGACCCAAATATAAAAATGTTTAAAAGGTGTACATCCACTGTATGTATAGCATGTACCAAGTTTCAAGAGGAAGTCTAGAAAACTAATGCTAGCTGCAAAGCAAGAACTCTCACGAATTTTTTTTCTCGGCTGGGCTAACTCTACTAGCTGCTCGAAAATCACCTGCACGTTCAGTTTTGATAATGCTTTTTATGACAAACTCACCCTTTCCAATTAATCTACAAACTTTATCCAATAAGCTATGCTAGGGACAGTACACTTCCTAAACGTCGCGTGTACGCGTTCCGTGTGTGTGTGTGTGTGTGTGTGTTTCGGGTGTCGTCGCTATCACACGACCTCGATCGCGACGATTCGGTTGAGCGGGTGGGCCCCGCAGGGCCGAGGGCGTAAGACCCCCACCCTGGGCGCAGTAACGAGCGAAACGCAAACTGCTTGCAGCAATGAATACCTGTTCCCTAACAAGCCATTTTATGAAGCGGCTTATTGGATGATAAAAATCAAAACTCGAATCGTAACAATCGAATAATTAGAATCAGTTGGCGGCACCCGTTAAAGTCTTGTTGAATTTTTAAAACCGTCATAATAAAAATGCCTTATAATTTTTAATCAATCTATAGACATTAAACTTATCAATTTATTACTTATTACTTATATTTATGATCTTAATTCTCAAACACTGAAAATGCCATTGATGTGTAGATCGTATGTAAAAGAAATTCATATACGTAGTGCATATAGTTATAGTTTTTATATGAATTGATTGTTTAGAAGTTATAACAATTATGTAATGTGTTAGATGAAATATAATTCGCACATAATTTTTCAATTTGAGAGGTTGGCATGAGTGAATGTGAGTGTGAGTCAGCGGAATTTGGTTGAATGCAGTGTCAAGAGTGCACAACAGTTTTATAAAGTGCAAAAACGTTGTTAGTAGAACTAGGTAAAGCGTAAATTTGTCTTTATTAAATATATAATTTAATTATATAAGTCCTAAGATTTTGTCAAGTCTTTTTTTTCATCTCTGATGGAAGTCTATGGCATTGAACGGGTAATTCTACGGGTAATTCTACGGTAGTTCTGAACTACGATGGCGACGCGATGCAGAGCTTCTGTCTGATCATAGTTTATAATTGTATTGTTTGCCCGGTAGACGCCTCACGTTGCTGCGCGAGATTCCCGCGCATGCGTCGCCTGCCCCCATTCCTTGCGCGGCGACTTTTCGTGTATACACTGGGCCACACGCATGCGATACGCGACCGATCAGCCGAAAATCAGTGTCGCGGTACCCAATTCCAGTCTGAACGCTTCCATTAAATCTGAAACAAATAAGAGCCGTCATTGAGTCACTATCAGAACCAATAGCGAACATTTTTTCTATAATAAAAGATTATAAAAAATGTTATCGATGATATAGATTCTGATTCTTGAAGATCGTTGGAAAACAAAAATTGCTTGAGATCGAAAGATCGATCCCAGTTTATGTTCACAGGATTGTTCCCAATTTAAGTTCAACAGGATTTTGTAACAGATGTGTATGTTGGCATCTGTCGGCATTAACTGATATTATTATCTTCGCATATGTGATATTATTTCAAATGGACAAAGGAACGTAGAGTAATCGGGGGTTATTAACAAGTGCGAGAATTGTTGTTGCCGTAGTGAAGAAGATTCGAACTAAAGATTATTGTATATTCGGTATTAAGAATAAATAGTTCATTTATTATTCGAAATATACTTATTGATTATTATTACCTTTAAGAATTTAGTTTTTACATCAGTGAATTTGAATTAATATCTAATGTTTATATTAGATAATAATGTATAATTGTTCCGTCACGCTGGAACAAAACACGTGGAGTCTTCGTCGACAGACTTTATGACACGAACCTGACGAAGAGGCTATTTTTGAGGTTACCGATAGTTATTTGGACAGTATGGGGGAAGCTCGCATGGTTATGTCAAGGTCTTCGAAGATTCCATGTCCATGAAGGTATCGCCTTGACCCTTACCAAAGTTAGGCGCCCTCGGGCACGCGGAAGGGCGTGGACGATACTCGAAGGACGCGCTGATTGGAAAATTGCATCTTTTCGGCATTGATCAATCAGCGCGATTCTTCTACACGACAGTGGAAGTCGTCATACAGACTCCCATAAAACGAGACGATTCAAGTCCGAGAAGTCATTCGAACGTTCTCGCGATCACTACTAGCGAAAGTCATTCACAGCGCGCTTCCCAAATGTTCAATCCGGGCCTTACAACCCCGGAAGGGTACATACATTGTCAATTCAATAATTTTTATAATGTCTGTACGCAGCGTTAAAGGCAGAATATCGGGATGTCGACGCCTCTAGAAACTTCGCGAGAAGAATCTCCGGCACAGAAATGGACAGGAAAGGTTTTCGAAGGCATAAAAGCCGGCTCAAAGATGCAAACACGATTCCAGATACTCGACAATAAAAAATTAAGCAAAGAAACAGTTGCGGGTATTCAAGATATGAATTTGGGAAAAATAAAAAATGGACGGCCTAGTGGTAAGTTTATTTAGCTAACCTCGGAAGGATTAGGAAAAAAGATTACTCTTTAGAAAGTAGAGTGGTAGAAAATTGGTCGATATCTGCATCAACTTTACTATCAAGTATTATCTTATCGATTACAATGAATCAGTTGTTTTCCAGTGCCGTGACTCCAGAACATTCGCGTCTTCGTTACTCCACTTTGATTATATAAATTTGCACACATGCCACCGAATTTAATGATTTTTAAACATATTATCAAGGGCCCGATTCCAAACAACTCTTCTCTTTATGAAAAATGTGGTAATTATATATGTATAGTTGAGCTAGCCGTGTAACCTTTTCTTCGACCAAAACGTCCAAAAAATGTAATGGCAATCATTCTTTTAAAGCAATGTGTAATCAATTTTAACGATTGTCTAATTAAGAAAGAAGGAGCTGAGATATTAAGATTTTTACTTTTCGTGCAAGAGTAATTGATAATTCTTAATTCATCGTCCGGGGATACTTTAACTGGCTTTTACATTTTTGTCGCTAGGTGGTTCAGTTTAATGCTCAGCCAGTGATGATTTCTGTGCCCTCCTTTAACGGGATTTTCTATCAATAAAATAGCTTCGCGAATTATTCGGTGAATTCGATTCGGACACGAAATTATTTAAATGAAAATATCATTTATGTACTTTGTCGAAGCTATTTACTGTTAATATTCACTGTACCCACCGCATACAAATTTCGTATGCCACACATGAAGTGTCATGCACACCAGAAAATTAAAGCGGCTGTCACGGTTAACTACTTACTATTTTGGGCCCGAAAAATTACAAAAAATTTGTTAGACATTTTAAAATAAGGATGAACAGTGTTTCTCTTGAAATAAACACTGTCACATAGTAAAAAAATTCGGGTAGTTCACGCTCCGTAACTTGTTCATTGCCTCGACCGTGACACGAACGTGTCACCGTTTTTCGTTAATAATTCGTAAACAAAACCGCGGATTGCATTTGCACTAAGGAAAAAGTTACTTTAAATTATCTCAAGAACCATCTATTTCATGGATTCAGATACCTTTTGGGACATTCTGTATGCATTGCTTCGCGTCACATGCAGAAATAAACAAGCAATAGTTATTTGTCTGGCTGACACAGCTGCGCAGGCAGAATTGTACAGAATTACAATTAAATTATTCAAGGAATTATAATTGCAAAGTAATTCAATTACGCTATAATTCAGTCACATTGTAATTCGTAATTCAAAAATACTAATTGAATTAGGATTATAAATTAATATTACGAATTAGAAGATAAGACAATACGCAGAAAAGACATAAAATGAGAATATACGAAAGAAAAATACAAAAATGTGTATCACTTCTTCAAAGTTCATTTGTGGAGCTGTCATATGTGGAACTATATATCCGTTACATTGTATTCGATTGACACTCGTAATCAAAATAATTAGCTATTTAATTAACCGAAAGGTTTGAATTATGTAATTGAGTTGTAACATAGTTGAATATATTATTATACTATAATTGAAATACAATGTAATTACAATAAATTGCGAAATTGAAGTAGCACAGCTCTGTGCGGCGTAGGTACAGTAATGTCTCCCTAACTGACGCTCAGATTGTGCAAAAAAATGGACAATTTGGGGAGAGGAGATACGATTATTCGTGTTTTGTTTCTCGTTTTTATAGTTGTTGACAATTCGTAACTTTAAAAACGAACCGCAAGGCTCGAATAATCGTATCTCCTCTTTCCAAATTGTCCACTTTTGTGGAAAATCTGAGCGTCAATTAGAGAAACATTACTGTATATGGGTCATTCCTTGCCAAATCGATCAGTTTTCCCTCTTGACGTCTGGTAAAATTCTTCTGAGTATTTGTGGTAGCTGTGAAACTTACCAATTGTGTTTTTAGTTTTTTTATTCATTGCAATAATATGGATTGATATAGTAATTCGGTTCGCTGTAGCTTTAATATGTCTCGCATCATCGCACGAAAAACATTTTCGTAGGAAAAAGTTCAAGGAATACATTAGTATCTTTTTCGAATTTTCAAAAACGCGACTTCAAAACCGTAACAATTTTTCAATCAGGTAGATATTTATTGACAAAGGTGGATCCGTCTCAAGTCAAACTAAAAGAAGTACATCTCGACATAACTCATTTTCGCAAAACTGGGAAAAATTCGTAAACTTCAAACCTCTGTATTTTTTAAACAAATTCTAAATTAGCAAAATGATGATTTACCTCCCTCTCAAACCACCCCTCCCACCCTATCAATTTGTATAATACGCAGAATTCCTTGCAGTAGTAGCAACCGTTTTTTGCAAATAATCTCGGTAACTAAAGCAGAACGACATTTTTTACAACGAAAAGAGTTGTTCAGAATCACACACGATATGTTAAATATGTTATCACAACATGATAACATATTTAAAAATCATCAAAATCGAAGGGATGTGCGCTGATCTGTATATAATTACAAAAATTTCTTGTTGCCAGCAGATTCCAAATAGTCTAGTTTCTACCACCCTCATTTATATCTTCATAATAGATTCTACAAGAGACAAAAGTGTTTACGCAGTGTTTTATAACCATCATAATACTTCGACTGCTACGCTGACTACCTCAAAAATTCCGTAAAATTAACGTATTTCAACTAGTCGAATTAAAATTGAAAAGTTCAGTTTGCGATAACAATTATAATTTCATCATCCTTGCGTTTTAGGGAGAGGGCGAGGGAGAGAGAGCGAGAGAGTGCGCGCGTGTAAGAGAGAGAAAGAGAGAGAGAATAGTATGATTAAATAAATAAAAAAAAATTAAATTTTGAAATTAAATAAATATGTACAATAGATTTGTGATATTTTTTAAAATCTCATGTAAATATTCACGTATTCGCTTCTAAGTCAGAAGCCACAAAAAACATCATTTCAAACTCAAAAGTTGTTTACTTTCATATTATAATCTAATAATCCAGAAATTATTGACCACCATCTTTTTTTAAATATGAGAAAGATTATTTTTTATTATTTTTGGATATCAAACAATTGGTTTTCCTGATAGTATGTATATACATCGACTACGTGATCCATGAGGCTATTTTCATCGCTTTATAACTTCAACAATTTTCAATATTCTGATAATTTGTCGTTTTTCTTTTTGTTGTTGTTGTCTGGTAAATATATCTACAATTAACTGTAAAAAGATCTTAGTATATTCATGAAACTGCATCAAAGCAATCTAAATTAATAGAAATCATTAATCTTAGCTATTAAATAGTAACTTTATCTCTAGTTGAAAACAGACAAATTCTATTTTATTTCTTTAAATGCGTGTAGGTAAAGCAACAATACGGTTCGACTGTGGAAAAAATACAGGAAGTAAACCCCATATTAATATCGACCCAAAAGGCTATCCTAGTGGTAAGAATCCGCATATCGAGGTCTCTGAAACGATAATTAAAGGAGCGGAATATATGAACAAATCATTGAAGTACGCAGGTGTTGTATTAACTGTAGCCTCCGTGGCTGTAGAGATTTGGCGAATTGGTTCTGCGATTAAAGATGATAAATTCGTATGCGAGAATGCGAAGGAGATAATTCAAGAATTGGACGATGCTATCAAGAAATTGAAGGAAACTTGTCTAGCTGAAACTGATCTGACGATAAAACAAGAGATAATGGACACCATATTACATTTGCAAAAAATTTTGAGAGACGTAGAGCGAACAAAGAAAGCTCCAGTAAAAACTATTAGAACGGTCTTTTCAGCGATTGGCGGATGGGGTGGTGGTGTAGCGGCAGGCAGTGGAGGTGCATGGGCAGGAGCAACTACCGGTGCTACAATCGGCTCTTTGTTCGGTCCAGTTGGTGCAACAGTAGGTGCTCCTATTGGCGCTGTAATAGGCGCAATTGGACTCGGAATTGGCGGCGGGATTATAGGAAGTAAAACTGGAGAAAATCTTGCGGAAGCTGGATTAACGATGTTGGATAAATGACAAATTATTTTCAAGACAGAAATTTTCACGCTTTTATTATATTTTAGATTTAAACAGAGGTTGTGGTAGCTTGTGTCTGATGTAGGTTAGGTCTAGGCGGGCCCGAGATAGAGATTTGGTACAGTTTTGTATTTTGTACGTAAGAAAGAAAAGAGAGTCGTATAGCATAGTATAGTGGGTTCTTATTGAAAGCTATGGACTATAAATGGGGGTCCCTTAACCACTTAACTGCGTCGATCTATTTTTAAGATCAATTTTGTATGCGTTTTATCGATCATACTGGGTGCAGTTTCTTTTGGCAAATTGACCTAGAATTATTCTAAAATGTGCGAAATTTATGAACATGTTTCACAAGCATTTTAATCTAAATCGTAGAAGTATTTTTGTTGTAAGATGTAAAATTGCCACTTCCTTATGATATGTGTACACGTCGTCCACAGCTAAGAGGTTAAGACACTTTGTATGTAAATAAATTCCTCCTTTATGTTTAGAATTATTTAATTTCTCTTTATTTTTAAGGGTGTAAAGTTGTCTTAAAATGTATGTACTGTGGCCCATGAAAGTGTTTGTACACCTTTTAAAACGCTATAACTTTTTTAAAACTGGCTTAAGTGACTCAAATTTTTTTTAGATGATAGCTGGACTAGTCTACCAGACGACGACCAAAATGCTTTTTTTAAATTTTGCTATTACATGGGATAACAAAAAAAGGTAAGAAACTCTCGTTTTTTAACTTTTTTATCTGAGCCTGTAACAAAAATTTCAAAAATACCTCTCGTAGATCTCGATAACCTATATGCGTGCTGAAAATTTGATCGAAATCGGTTAATGCATACATATATGTTACCGAGATCTGCGAAAGGCATTTTCTAAATTTTCGTTATAAGCTCTGATAAAAAAGTTAAAAAACGAGAATTTCTTACCTTTTTTTGTCATCCTATGTAGTAGCAAAATTTTAAAAAAGCATTTTAGTCATCATCTAGTAGACTAGTCCTTCTATCAACTAAACAAAATTCAAGTCCCTTAGTTCAGTTTTAAAAAAGTTATTACGTTTCAAAGGGTGTATGAACACTTTTGTGGCCCACTGTATGTATATCTCAATATTGTCAATATTGACGTCCATCTTGTGTGCTTTGGTCATTACATTTCCACCTGAAACACGTGGGGCGATATTCGACTTGCACAGTCCAACATATTTGTGAACGTCATGAAATTTCAATCATTTCTACACTTATTAAAATTTTCGAAAACCCGTAAGCTACATTTTAGCTAATGCTTTCTACTTTATGAATCTACAAAATTTTGTTAATTTAGCCATTAATTTACACGGAATATAGTAATAGGTCAGTATAAACATTTTATTTGCTCTGATTGATTGACGATTTACTGGTAAGTAAATCTGCCCTCACGATCAAAGAAAAAGAGGGAAACAGCGAGTGAGCAAGAGAGCATGAAATCGGCAACTACATATGGAACAAGTCACACTAACAAACAATGTAGCTTGTCTCTCTCTACTGTGCTTGCAGTCTTATATTTTTCGCGCATCTATTTGGTTGGCGCGTCATCAGAGGCACGCGCGCGAAATACGGTTTCAAAGAAGCTTCAAATAAGAAATAAAATGTTTTATCGAAGACGCAGAGAAAGTGGTAGCTATAAGATACCTAATTTAATATTAACCCTCCTCTGTCACACTTCCTATGCGTAACATGTATGTCACAACTGGATCATTCAGACGCAGTTTTCAAATAACTGTCACTCAAAAATTAATAAACTATTGAGACGCAAAATTGAGGAGGATTTGAGAGAAAGGATCATACTGAAATTTGCAGCAGTAAGTATAGGGTTTGTATACACAATAAAAATGATTCAAGCCGATTCTAAGAAACAGAAACTAAATGAACATAAATTATTTCTTTTCATTATTTTGATAAGTTTCAAATAGCGTTACAATGTTATTAAATTTTGCCATAAACACATAAAATCCGCAGTCTAGTTATCAGAAATCTTTACAATATAATAGGAAAGCGTTCGAACATCTTCAGTAAAGATATTTTCAGTAAAGATATCTCGACAACTAATAATCTTTTTGCTCTGATACCTTAACAATTTTTTACGTAGAATAAACAGAAAAATCGACTAGAGTAATCAAAAATATGTATTTCCATTGAGAGAAATGATGCAATTGTTAATTACATGTGCACTGATGCACTTGAAAAAGATCTAAGAGTGTACAAATGTAGTGGTCTTGGAGCTATTTATCTTCCTTCTTTGACATTTTTTCGTAAATGCATTAATAACGAAGTTATTACCTGAAACATTTGTATATACCACCCTATATACAATCTGGGAAGTACAAAATCACATACTGCGGATCATACCACTTGAAACTTATTACAGATCTTTAGTTTTATTGCGGCGAGAAATAACATAATGGAAACAATCCAACAATACATATTTCTTTTTTTTATATAAATGTTTAACTTATGTTCTTAACTTAGAGGAACTTTAAGCTATTTAATATGTCTACAAAATGTAATAAAATAGTTGTAATTTAATATTTGGTTATCAGGTTTGTACTTTGATTGAGTAGGAACTAATTAGTCATTGTACTAATAAGTATTTGTATAAGTGACATAAGAAATAGTCAGTAAAGAAGTCATCATTATATGAATATGATTATCACAATTTCATCCTTACTATGCTTAATACTACTTACAAATTAAAGTGACTCTTACCACATACTTTTGGGGTCGTATATGTTTTAGTCCTCCTATCTATATTATGTGTTTTTCTCCTTTTGAGCTTTATTATGATGTTTTGGTTCCTTAACCTCCAATATTCTTTTGTGTCAAGCCTATGGAAATCTTCATAGTCTTTTTTTAGGATTATTTTTGAGTATACAAAGTTTTCGAAACTTATTGTACGATTATTTTGTTTTATCGTGATACTTTTATCTATTTTATCTTTTTTCCAGTGGTATATTAAAGAAATATTGTTTTCATTTCGTATTATACCATCTTTATCAAAGTGTAAACACGCGCTTGTGAAGTTAAATACCCTGTTTGTTTTTTATTTAAGATATAATTTTCATTGTATGTGTCACAAGATTTTCAATTATTTTGTTTTCAATTAGAGGTAGTTTAGTATAGTAATATCTGGAGGTTTTGATGATAAAATTATCAATTCCGTTATTGTTAGCACTATTGTATAATGTTTTATTATTATGATAATGTTTGTGTTCAGGTTTCGAAGTTCAATAAAAATTTAGGCATGCTCGTAGACCTTTACGCTCGAATATCTTACATTTTTTAATTACACATGTCCCAATGTTCCACAATATTGGTGTCACATAAGTTATTGTTGGTCTTATTAGTAATAAATATATGATTATTGTTGCTCTGTTTGTTACGGAATATGTTACTGTATGTTCTATATGCCTTGAATGCTTTTTCTAATTGTATGATGTGGTGTTGTGTTTCCTCTTAGAAAGTAAACGATACGATATCCTAAATATCTTACATTATTTTTGTGTCACTATTTCTTTAATTATTTATACCAGTTTGTATACTGGTTATTTATCAGCTGTGTATACAATTATATCATTTGCATATGTTATTGTTATTATTATTGATATTACATAAATTTAATAAGCCACTGATATAAATTATGAAAAGTAATGGTGAGTTTACTGTGCCTTGTTCTAAGTTATCGATGATGTTAAATGTGAGATTTGTCATATTGATACAAAATAACGCAATTTTTCATTTATTATCAAAAAGAAACCACAGAGAAAACAAAATGTTATGTGGAAAGAAGTTTCCGACCATGGTTCAAGATGTGTATAAGAGACAGATACAAAATAACGCAATTTTTCATTTATTATCAAAAAGAAACCACAGAGAAAACAAAATGTTATGTGGAAAGAAGTTTCCGACCATGGTTCAAGATGTGTATAAGAGACAGATACAAAATAACGCAATTTTTCATTTATTATCAAAAAGAAACCACAGAGAAAACAAAATGTTATGTGGAAAGAAGTTTCCGACCATGGTTCAACTAACTAGCTCTATAAATGTCTTAAGCGGAGGAAGCAAGCGCAAACACAAGTGCCTGTGAAAATGTAAACAAACGGTTATATTGCTATGGCATCTGAAATACAAAACATTTCAGTCAGTAGATAAATAAGATGGACGTGTGTGCCATCATGTAAGTCGTATTCAAACAATTTAAGGTTAACAGTAATCGAACTTCTCAAACAAGGTAATAATCAAAGAAATGTCGCAGAAATTATAGGATCTACTCAGAGTACGCTAAGTAATATAATAAAGGTGTAAGGAACGTGCAAATTGGACTGTGGAGGACTAGTGCAAAGTAATATTTAGCAATGAGTCTCGTGTTTTCCTTGGAGCAGTGAATGACAAAGGAAAATTTGTTTGGCAGTGATCTAACGAAAAATTTAATAAAGATTGCATGAATCATAAACAAAAATAACCATAATTTTATATGATATGGAGTTGTATGACAGAAAGGGGAGTGGGAAAACTATGCATTATGTACCAGAACGTGAACGCAGAAACATATTAATATATTAATATATTTTAGAAGATTTAGAGCAAAATCATATTAAAACATTGAAGTGACCTGCGAACAGCTCCAACTTGAACCCAATCGAGAACATATGGGCAAAATTAATAAAATTGATTTATGAGAAAAACTAAAGATTAAAGATATGCTGTACATGCTACTTCGACATGCAATACAATTGTCGTGGAAAGAAATTTCGTCTAGGGATTGTGAAAACTTAGCAGTGTCAATGCCCCCAATGCATTAAAAGTGTCATATGAGAACGTGATAATGTAACAAAATATTAATAATTCAATGATCAGAGACTTTTTTCCAACATTTGTACTGACCGGAAACTTTTTGCCACATAACATTTTGTTTTCTGTGTGGTTTCTCTTTGATAATAAGTGAAAGATTGTGTTACGTTATATTTGTTTACTTTATTTAGATCCCACTTACGTTCCTCATTCATCTTACCTGCATATAAGAATATTTTATAACTCGAAAAAATTGCAAATTGTATATTAGTATATATGATCGGAAACTACGAATAACTACTATTACGAATAAATTGAGGAGCTCCTCACGATAAAAATGACTCTAAACACGACATCATTCGGACGTTCTTTAAAAACATTATAATTTTTTCATAACATTAATTATCAATAAAAAAATCTCTGTTTGCACTCAAGTTTGGACTCATTTTTATCGGGGAAAGATCCTCAATTTAATCTTAATGCTTTTATGAAAGTATATTGAAAAATGTAAAAATTTTAATTTTCATTCGTGTGTGATTGTTCATCTGTTTACATTGTACACCGTTAGTCAATCGCTGGGTCTTTGACATTTGGGGCTCGATGGCCGGCAACGCGTTTATTCGATCCACCAAAATTGAATTGAAAATTTATTCGCGAAGCCTCCGAATAAAGATACAGATAAAAGATGAAAATTTTATTCAACGCTACGAATAAATATGGTTCGAAATAAATTCTCATCAAATACAATTATTTATTCGATACTGGTCGAATAATGATATTTTGAATAATGATATTTGAGTTTTTTTTAGTACTTCAGTGTTTTGTCTTTTTTCACACATTTCTCTGGATACTAATCACCAAACTGTGATGTATTTCGCGACGAGAAGTCGTAAACTTACATAATTTAAAAAATATAAAGATCATCGAATTTTTATTAGTATTCAATTCAATTTTGATTAGTATTCAGAGAAATATATGAAAAAAGATAAAACACTGAATAAAAATTCAAATATTATTTGCACCCATGTCTACAGTATCCGATTTATTCGAACAAATTATTTCATCCATTTATTCGAACAAGCTATTCTATCTATTTATCCGAACAAACTATTACGTTTATTTATTCGGGCATTATACTATTATTCGAATCATAAAGCGAATATTTACTAACTGTTTTTGATTTTACATATTATAGTTTTATGAGGATATATTTTATACGAAGACATTGAAGATCAAGTCAATTAGCATACAGTGATCGAAATAATTTTCTTCGTGGAATAAACATGCGCTTAATATGCAGGTTTTCAGTTTGTATGTTATTGTTTATATTAATAAATAATTATTTTTCAGTTAGACTGCGGAACCTCTGCCAATACATACGGCGAAAAGCACGGTGAACCGTATAAGGCGTATAGAAAATTGGAAAATTGCTCGAAAAAGCGTAAAAATAAACAGCATAGTGTAAAGAATAGCGTTAATAATAAAATTTATGATTGGTTTTTGTAGATTTTTAGGGGTTCCTATTTTGGACAAAATCCTGCAGACACCGGATCAGGTGTCTATTACGAACTATCTCATGTAGATGTGAAGATATTTTAGTCCATAACCGCGATTCTTAATTTCAAGCAAGTCGCGGATGATTATGGAGATTTGAGCAGACGGCAATATTTGAGTGACGGCGTCGGAGGAGAGGACAAGTGCCGACACCGCTGCAGCGGAGGCGTTCGCCGAGAGTATTTCAACAGAGAATCCAGGAAGAGACTTTTTCCTGGGAGTATATTTATAACATTGATAAAACCAGAATTTTGTGGGAATATATTTCCAGGAAAACGCTTGCCGGATCCTCTGAAAGAAAGGTTTATGGTAAAAGGTCAGGAAGGATAGATTGACAATCGGGCTGTGCTAATGCCACGGGTGCGCACAAATTAAAGCCCTTGACAGTGAGCAAATTTAATAATTTCAGAGCTCTGAAATACCACCGCGTGGTCCTCCAGCAGGATGCTGTCGAAAATATGATCCTGCTACTGGATAATTGTACTGCACACGGGATCGACGGACAATCTGAAATGGACACTCAATTTGAAATTGTTGATATTTTTGATATTATTGATATTTTTGTCAAAATTAAGAACACTTACCGACACAAATTCTTGCAAAATTTTTTGCAGTCCGAGGATGATGTTGGAGGGAGGGAGGGAGGGAGGGAGAGAGAGAGAGAGAGAGAGAGAGAGAGAGAGAGAGAGAGAGAGAGAGCGAAAGAGAGAGAGAGCGAAACTACCTGGGATGGCAGCGGCCAGCATGTTGATGTGTATTACTACGAATATATTGTAATGCTAGGATAAAAACGATGACTTTATTATTTCTAATTTTTTATACATCAAAATTGTTTAGTATATTGGTCAGATTTTTCCAATTAAAATGATACCAAACACAACATTCTTTAGACCATACTTACTCATTATACGTTGCAAGTAACTTATTTTATTTGCGAAAAAAGTATTAGAAAAACCGATTCTTAACATATGAAATATTAAAGGCAACAAAGAAGGTACGTATGTCGTTCGAAAGAAAATATCAGTGAAGTTATGCTACTCGAGCCTATATTCGACAACGGTAAGAAGAGACTGTGGCTGAGTTAGATGCCGATAGGAAGAAGCCATGGCTGAGTTAGGTGACGGTAGCATAAGACATCGCTCGGTTCGACTGAGGACGAGTCTACGCGTTTGGCGGAGAGTGTAATGGAACACTTTTCTGTACGTTTTGCATGAACCCTGGAATTTTAAGAGGTCGAACATCGAGGAAGAACGACACTGTTTATATATGAGATCCTCGAAACTCAGCGCCGATAGCACAACGGATCGCAGATGTGGCGACTAAGTACAAGGGCTGGAACCGAAGCCACGTTTTCTTATAAGGACGAAAGTCAACTTGTTACTCTTATTTCAATCGTTTTTACAACGTAACAACGGCAATATTCATAAAGCAATGAAGCAATTACCAAAGTAAAAGTCGCCCAACGTGCTAACTTTACCCTCGTTGAGTATCTCTTATTAGAGAGTCTCTAAAATGATGCATGTATGGTGAGACAGATGAAGACGGAAAAGTATAGTATAACAAATAAACCTTAAATCCAGCAATTATTTTTGTGTGTGTTTTGTTGTGAATCCCACATATTATTACGCCATCGCAGAAGTCCACGCATCGAGACATTTATTGTTATTTATTTATATTATTATTTATTAATAATGTCACCTGTCTTGATCGCTAGGTGACCAGTTATCAACTGACGGCCCAACAGATTCGTAGTAACCTCTTCTATTATCTTTTTAGGGGTTGTTCGCCGCAGGACAGCCGATGTAATAATATTCTAAAAACAATATACCTACAAAAATAATATTAATGTCCATGGCTTTTACGTTGCGTGTCTCGCTCTAAACAGACGTGAATAGATTGGAGACCTAATTATGCAGAACAGTAAGATTTTGTTATTTTTTATTCAATTATGAGGACTACAGAATTTTATTATGTGTAACGAATGTTGTTATTCTACAATTATTTATTCTATAAATTATTTACATAGTTTATTTGATTAAAGCATTTTATACAGAAAGCGCGGTTCTTTTGTCAGGGTTGAACCATAAGATTTCGCAGCCATCGTACATTGCGGGAGAAGAAATTGCTTCGTTACATAAATGAGGAAATTCGGCGAAGGTGCTTGGTGTAAGTTCTGTCTCTTATACACATCTAGTTTATTTGATTAAAGCATTTTATACAGAAAGCGCGGTTCTTTTGTCAGGGTTGAACCATAAGATTTCGCAGCCATCGTACATTGCGGGAGAAGAAATTGCTTCGTTACATAAATGAGGAAATTCGGCGAAGGTGCTTGGTGTAAGTTCTGTCTCTTATACACATCTAGTTTATTTGATTAAAGCATTTTATACAGAAAGCGCGGTTCTTTTGTCAGGGTTGAACCATAAGATTTCGCAGCCATCGTACATTGCGGGAGAAGAAATTGCTTCGTTACATAAATGAGGAAATTCGGCGAAGGTGCTTGGTGTAAGTTGACGCACATCGTCAGTAACTTGCGCGCTATTGGTAGACGGAACGAGGAACCACAGATTTCCAAATATAAATTCAGGACTGCTAACGAGATCCTCAACTACTTCTAACGGAAGCTTTCTTACCCATGTGGCATAATGCATTATATTGGATTCTGGTTCTGGTACAAATGATTTCACTTTCGTTGTATTAACATGTACGTAATATTGATGAGATTTCCTGACATCGTCACTTATCAAATCCATTAGTTGGTCCCCTTTACTGACTACAATCACATCACGCTCTTTCAGAATGTCGCAAACTATTTGCGCTGACTTTTCTTTCCATTCATCTGCACTACATTCGGATTGAACACGGAAAGATATAATAGATTGGTTCTGACTATTAAAGATAGTTCTCTTTGTGACACCAGATGTTCTTTCATTATACTCTTCGCCGAACGATAACATTTTTATGTTAGACAATTTCTATAAATAAAAGAGTTCATTGATTACAAAACAAATGAAATAAGCATATCGAATTTTATACACCGCACACAGATTCACTTTTACTCTTTATAATTTTATTGTTAAAGTAAACACTACATAAATAACACTGTCCGACACGATTTTTGAGTTCCTATAGCCACTATGAAATTCTTATAGAGTTTCACTCCCTGAATAAGAATCCGAAAACCGAATTGCTCCATCACCCTCAGTTTTTTAAATAAACGAACTTTTGAAAAAACTCAAAATTTTCGACAAAAATGAGATATTGCATGAAAAGTACAAACGTTAGAAAGTTCTAATTGGTGTTAAAAGATAGAGGAGAGTTTCCCGAATACAGTGGCATGAAATTTATTAATTGGTTTTGGTCCTAAATTTGGCCCTATAAATTAATGTCAAAGTTTAAAAAAGTGTCGACGTGAGCAGTTTCTGCGCAATATCTTTGTATTTTTACGAAAAGTTTTTTGTACAGCACGAAAACTCTACCCAGGATCGGATTCTGTAGACATTTCTGAAGAAGAAACGGTCCGGTAAAAGTGTCGGAACTATATACATTTCGAGTAGATCGAGAAAATGTTCGACAGCGACATGTACACGACGTTTTGCCGCCATGAGCTTCGCTGCTCGCTTCTCTCTGTCCGACAGGGCCGAGCTACGCATAATCAACATCCAATAGGGCACCCACTTTTCGTAAATAATATTTGAATTTTTTTTAGTACTTCAATGTTCTGTTTTTTTTTACATATTTCTGTGGATAATAATCACCAAACTGTG